TTGGAAAATATTCTAAATTTTAATAGATAAGAGAACTGATATTAATTGTGCGAGAACTAATATTAATTTTTTTTTTTAATTTAAATTGAACTCATTATCAAACAATTTTTTTGCTAAATAATTTAATCCTTAAAATTCCTGAATAATTAAAAATTATTTTGATTACCTCAGCATTTTAAAGATATTCCATCAATTGCAATTGATTCACCTAAAAAAAAACAACAAGTAAAGCTAATATTATTGTTTGAAATTTTAATTATCTTTATACAAATACTCATCATATTTTTAAAGTGACTGATAAAAATGGATTTAACTAAAATCACTTCATTTGTATTACAAAATTAATATTAAAGCCTTAATCATACATTATACAAGAGTATTTTGTAATACAATCTAAATAAATGTTGCGATATGTAATTTTTTTATCCAAAATTTAGCTTCTGTAAGCTTTAGAAATTTTTTAAAGAAGTTATTGATGAATTTGGATCTATGGGTACTAATGTTTTTATATTGTCGTAATGTTTGTATTCATTCCCTGTTAGTTTCTGTAAGTCAAAATTGCATGTCTTATAACATCTTTACTTGGAACAAAAACCATGTGGTTTAAAAGTGAGCTAGAAGCTTTCAACAATGAAGAAAATAATGCATTCACTAATCCTAAAAATATATTAAACCTGTCAGCAAACTCAGCTGTCAATAATCCAAGTATTAGCATCATTAAAAATTCATTTTTGCAGCATTACATTTATTTTGGTCCAAGTAGTTAAGAATTTTTTTAAATTTCAAAAAACAGAGGTAAATGTTTTTTTAATATCACTTTATCTCTTTTGATTAATGGTGATACTGCACTAACTGATGAAACACATTGACAGATGTAAGGCCAGTATAAAAGTCGCAAGATCTATTATTTTTAAAATAAATGTTTGTATACAAGTAAATTGCAATAACACGATTTGTTTGGATTATGTTTATATACAAGTTTGTCTGTTTTCATAGTAATAACTGATGTGGTTGAAGTTAATTTTTCAAATAAATCTTTATTTTTTTATTTCGTGCTGAAGTTCTTTTTTAAAGTTATCAATTTCCTTTTTTAATTCTTGATGCTCTATTAAAAAACAACGCTTAGCATTAAATTCAACATAATTTAATGGATCATTTTTTGAAAAAGCTGTATTATATTTATATTTAATAATATCAGTCTTTGAGCATTGTAGCCCAAGTTAAACGAAAAATATCGATTTTTAAACGATAATGTTCTTTCAGGAAAATCGTCTAAACATGTTTTTGATCTCTTGAAAATTCTATATGATATAAGTTCAGTATTTACATTTTTTTTTCCATTATAAATCTCTATAACTTTAACCGTTGAAATAATGTTTACTATTTTACTTCCATTTCTGCGCGCGCATAAATTTTATTTCGTATTTTTTGTCAACAATGATTGAAATAATGGCGTTAAAAGTTTTAACGAAAAGTTTTGCCGAAGCTTCGGTTCGGCCGAAGCCATGTCAATTTTTTGCCGAATCTTTGGCTTCGGCAAAAAATTTTAAGTAATTAAAGTTATAAGCTACTGTGGGACAAGTTATAAAAATAAGCTAATTGCCAGTGTCTAATAAAGTTATAAATTTAGGACTACAGAGTTAAAGTTGGAGTCTATACCATATACTTAGTATTATTTACTCCCAAGTGTCTTGTTATGGAGGGGATAATAATAAATAAGTAAAAATATTTTGAAAAAAATAATAAAAATGGGGAAGGTCCTCATACACTTTAAAAGCTTCCAAGTGTGACTTTAGATGAACTGAAGCAGCATTTCTATGCAGAATAAAAACCTTATAGTTTAAAACAAATTAAAAGTTTTTAAAACCTCAATTTGTATTATGTAACGAACTCATATTAATTATTGTGTGGGATTACCGCAAATAGAACAAAATTTGGTTTCAACATTTGACCGATAAACCTTAGTAATCTCTCTTTAAAGAAGATTAAAGATACGTTGCTACTATTTTAAATTGTGTGTATGTTTAATTCTTTAAAAATTTATTTAACCATATTAATAAAAATTAACAAATTTTCATCGTAAATTTACAGAAATTGGTTAGGTGTCACTTATATAGATACAAAATAGTCAATGGAGTGACACATAAAAAATAAAAAGTTCTCAACAACAAAAAAGGAAGAAAAGCAAATGAAATATAAACGAGGAGAATAAAAAAAGAAAAAAAAAAGCCAACAAAAACTAGATAAATTAAAAGAAAAAGAAAAACAATGATAATAACTATCCTTGCTCTTTTATTAATATTATGAATACTTCTAAATTGAATATATATATTAAACATGTAAACCAATATTCTGGTTTCTTCTTATGATATTATGAAGACTTTTAAATTTTATTTAAAATAAATTAAAGGTTGAAGCTTTGATTACTTTGAGCTCTTATATTTATCATCAAAATTTATTTAAATTAAATAAACAATTTAAATCAAATAAATATCAGATAGTTAATATTTGATTTCAGATACTGATGCAGATATATCCATTATAGAGACAGAAGAAGAATGAATACTAAGATTTCAAAGTATAAAAGATTAAAAAAAGCTATAGAAAATGTTATGTCGTGTTAAGTTAAAAATAATCAAAAAAAAAATACTTAAAAGTGTGTAAAAAAAAAGTTAGAGAGAAATCTATCATTTGTACTTTTTTTTAGCAGCAGGTTCACAACAGTTGTAGTGGAATCCAAAATGGTCTTAACTTGGGTTTTTTTTAGTTTAGAAATTGTTCGTTTAAAGAATACAGAGAAGTAAAAAAAAGATATTGAAATAAATAGCAATAAAAAGATAAAGTGTGTATGTAAGATTTTTAATGTTGTAGATACAACTAGATCAGCTAAGAGTCTTTATTTAAAGAAAGAGTGATCAAGTGCAAAAGATAAATTTACTCTAGTAATATTCAGAGATTTTTATCCACTTCTATTAACAAAAGGTGCATTAAAAATAAAAATAAAATATACAGCACATGAAAAGATGCTATACAACATTAATATGGTTTGCACACAGAAAAAGTAGAACTAGAAGTAGGAAAATTTGGGCAGAATGTTTCAAAAAGCTTAAAAAAAAAAACTAGCGCTCGATGCAGTCAAGTATCAGAAACGACATAATGAGAAACTTTTAAACAGGGGCGCTGAGAGCTTTTGCCCTGCCTGGAACAGCAATTCTGACTGGCGTCCTCATTTTAATACGGTTTTTCTATATTATTAGTCAAGGACCTTAGTTTTGGTACCTTTTTTGTTTTACACCCCTGCTGATCTGAATGCTGATAAAAATTTTAAGCATATATAGTGACGAAGCTTCGGCTTCGGCTTCGGCAAAGTGGCTTCGGCCGAAGCTTCGGCTTCGGCAAAATTTCAGCTTCGGTACATCCCTAGTTAAAACAACGTTAAATAATCAACGTTTAAAGTGTAACGTCGATTTAACGTTGAAATAACGTTAAATAATCAACGTTTAAACGGTAACGTTGATTTAACGTTGTGACATAGTTAAACAACGTTGAATCAACGCTTCAACCGAATTTCAACGTTGAAACAACGTAATAATGCCAGCTGGGTACTAAGTAAAACTTTATACATGTTGTTGCTACTCAGAAACTTTGTATCTATGGGCCGTCACCATCTTTAAAATTGTAATATTTGTATTAGACACTGCCCTTGCGTACTTTCCATATCATGATAAGAGATCACGGTTGTTTAGATATAATTTTTCACGGACATGAAAAAAGTAAACTTGCAATAAATTCAAAGGTCACAAAAAATGGTTCGACTGAGTATCTTTAAGTTATTGAGTGATTTTTATGAGACATTGTTTTAAACGGAAATTTAAAAATACTTTGAGTTACCAGTACTTTGAGTGATCAACTTACTTACCAGTACTTTGAGTGATCAACTTTTTTTATCTACTTTGAAGTTATTTGGAGTTTACTGATTTAATGTTTTTACTTTAACATTACTCTGGAAAATATCGGTCCATAAAAAACCTCTACTTTAACGTAAAACCGAAAATGTAAATTATTATTCTGAAAAATATAACTCAAAATATACAAAAAAAAATATGCAACTTTAGTTTTAAATAAAATCATTAAGTTAAATAATTCTCAGTTATTCTATAAATGCATAGGTTTTAAAGTTTTAAATTAGTTATCTAAAAAAGAAAGTGAAAGTGAGTCTGCTTTTTTTTATTCCGCAGATTTTCATTTACAAACAAAACAAAAACAAAAAAACAAAACAAAACATTTTCAAAAAAATCTTTAGGCAATAAAAAAAAAGCTGAAAGGAAAAATTAATTAGTTCTTTTTAAAGTCATAATAAAAATGTTGGTTTAAAACAACCTGTTTTAAAACCACTATCCGTTTTAATTCGCGGGAAAAGAGTCGTCAACTTCCTGGTTAAATGCTTGTAAACGGTGCTCTATGATAAGACCGTCGGCACTTATCACAGAGCACCGTAAAAAGAAAAAACGATGACATGCCAAAGAAGTGCCAAAGAAAATACAAATAATAGTGCCGCATGTTTGTAAAAGAAAAAAATAATAACGTTTGTAATATGTCTGGCTTCCATAATGTTGAAACTATTATGGTTACCAGATATACCATAATAGTTTCAACATTATGGAGTTTTAAAATTAACCCACCAAGCATTTCAACGTTGATTCAACGTTGATAACGCGTTGATTTACAGACGTCGATTTATTCGTCGAATTGGAAACAAAATATCGACGTTGAAATATCAACATTGATTCGACGTCAATAAATCAACGTTGAGCGTACGTTGATTTACAAACGTTGATTTAACCGTTGATTTGGAAACAAGAAATCGACGTTGAAATATCAACATAGATTTAACGTCAATAAATCAACGATGAACTTACGTTGATTTAAGCGTTGATTTGGAAACAAGAAATCTACGTTGAAACATCAACATCGATTCAACGTCGAAAAAACAACTTACGTTTTATAAACGTTTTCGAAAGATAACATTTAAAAAATTTACAAAAAAGTATTTGTTACAAAGTTTAATAAGTGGGGGAAAGTAAGATTTTATTAAAAGTTTAAGAGTTTATTTTTATTTTTCGCTACTACTTCCGCTTTTGTTTGATGCAACGTCACATTCTACTTCGCATTCGTCGTCACCTTGATTTATTTCTTCATCGCTTTTGTGAACTTCATCGTTTTCTATTTCGTGGTTGCAAGATTTCCGTTTACCTCCATTCAAACGATAAGGTGCATATTTTAGGCAGGAGGCAATAAATGACCTAGTTTCTTTGTCTGTTGCTTTAGGCTCACAGCGCCTAATCGATTCTAAAAAGTAAATGCAAAAATATCAAATTTGGTCAAGTGAATAAAACTGTAGATAAAGGAAGAAAGAATGTCTTCAATTTACACTATTTAATACGAATACATGAAGTTTACAACTTTAATGTAAACTGATTTAATTTTATTTTTCAATTTGTTCAAGGAAGATTTTTATATCTACTTTTTGTGAATTCAACTAAATTCATTTATTTTCAACAGGCAGCCTTTAAAAAGAAATATAAATATATAAAAATATAGAGATCAACATTATAGCTACCAATTATTGCTTTGTAAACATTTAACTTTTCCATAGGTAACTTCACAGTAACCTTTCCCTTGGAACCAACCAAATTGAACTTCGATTGAAGTCTGTTTGTCATCAACCTTAAACATGTCAAAAGAGAAACTCAACATTATTTTTCTATAATTAAAAATCGCTTTTAAAAACTAATTTTCTTTGCAAAAATAGTAAGTACTATTTATTTAAAAAATGTTTCAACCTGTTTATCATGTTTGCAACACTTTTTTTACCATTGTTACCGCCAATGGAAGATAGCTGATTAACCTGATATAAAAATAAAACAATATCTATAGGAGCAATGTGGCAATATTGCATAATAGAGCATCTAGATCTTCAATGGAATTTTTAGATAACATCCTAGCAGATAAAAGGTCAGGTTATCCTGCTACTAGTAAGTGACCGGGGCCATGGCCCAAAACAGAGCTTTTTACAAATCCGGCACCGGCCCCGGGTTACTAGCTGGGGTTAGATTTTTTTTATAGTATTGTAATCTTTTTCACTGTTTTTGTTTATTTTGTTTAAGCTAATATCTGTTATGAAAGTTAAAGAAAATATTTAAAAAAAGTCATAAATACATTTAATAAATATTTAGATATTTATTTAATGTATTTATGACTTTTTTTAAATATTTTCAGGGCTCAGGGCCTCTTATCATCATCAGCATCATTTATGTGGATCTCCTGAAAATCTTGACTTCAGGGCGGTTTGCCAATGAGGAGGGGTGTTTTTTAAAAATACCCACAAATTTACCTATAATGGTCAATTTCAGTATAATAGTCAATTTAGTGTAAAATATTTTAAATTTGTATTATTTTGTCGTAAGTATAATATTTAAATATTATACTTACGACAAAATAAATAGATTCACATAAATGATGGTGATGATGATAAGGATAATGATGACAATGATGATGATGGTGATGATCATAATGATGATGATGATGCTAATGATCATGATGATAATGATGCTAATGATCATGATAATCATGATGGTCGGGAGTTGATGATATACACATTTATAAAAAATATACTTATAGGATCTATCAATGTAAATGTAGCCATGTTCATCACACAAGATTTTAATCTAATCAACACTATATTTAAATGAAAAATAACTTACAAACTTTTTAAAAACCCTTTTGTCAGCTCCAAGTTTTCGATCGAACTCATATAAAGCGTCTATATCATCAAATTGTATTATTATCTCTCCTTCAACATCTTTCATTCTGGTGCCACTAACTGCATCTAACTTTTTGGATATTTCACTCATTTGCAAGGTTATTTGAACCAACCTCCGTAATACTATATGTTGAAATCCTGAGTTTGAAAACAAAAAGTACTTTATAAATATAATATATATATATATATATATATATATATATATATATATATATATATATATATATATATATATATATATATATATATATATATATATATATATATATATATATATATATATATGAGAGCTGAGCTGCAAGGGGACAGGAATTTCTTCCATCCCCACCTATCTCGCAAACATTTATTGGCCTTTTCCATGACAATAAATGATATACTTGAATGAATATGTTGCATACAAAACAACAGCAAGTTGAAAGACAGCTGTAAATCACAAATGATATAGTAAAGAAACCTACCATTATCTTCGAGATTTTTTGAGCTAATTAACTCGTCCCGAGCACAAGCAGAATCTCTTCTATTGTAATTAACATAAGATTGAGAAATAACAGCAGGTGAATTGGTGGAAATATTTGTGAATGAGCTTTCTAACATACTAGTAGTAGTCTGACTGTTTAATGTTGGTTTGCGTATAGAAAAATCATCACATGTAGAAGAGGTAATAGTTGAAAGAAATGGCTTTGGTATGTGAGCTGTTGATAAAGCAGTAAGTCCAGAATAACCACCATGTATAGAAGAGGTTTGAGTATAACCTTTAGAAACCAATTTAACATTAAAATAGTTTGACATAACATTTATTATAGTGAAAACCATTAATATGTTATTTTGAAAATCTAAAAAAAATTTAAATAATTTAAAATAAATATGTCACTAAGGCAAAAGGTACCAGATGAAATTTTTTGACTTGAATTGTTCCTTTTTGCTTTTTGTGGAACATCTGTATCCGGCGTAACAGTTCCTATGAAAGAAATTATATTATTATACAAGAATATTATTATTATACAAGAAAACAATAGTGTTATAAATATAATCATTTTTGAGTATTATATATCATTTTTACTTATTGGCATTTTCGGTGGAACTGGCTTTGGAATATACTTAATAATTGCATGTCTTTTTTCAGATAAGCTGGGACAACTCTTAACCATCATTTCATTGTTATCCAGTTCTCCAGCTGTCACATTATCTCCATACTCTTCACATACTTCTTTGTCATCATCTAGGATGGAATCAATTAATGTTTACATTGAAAGTCTTATTATAAGGAAAAAACATAATGATGACTGTTATTTATTTAGTAAATTTAATGAGCACTCATTAAATATATAAAAAGACCTATAAATAATTTAAAATTATATCTTTAAAGAATTTATTTTAGAAAGAGACATCAATGAAGTGCTTTAAGAGTATAGTGGGCATTCGTTTAGTCATGCGATTAGTAACTCAATCATTTGATGGAGTTACTAATTTAAGTGATCATCGAAAACAGTGCAAATAAATTAGTCGAATTGAAAGAACCCATAAAAAATAATAATTTTGTGTAAATATTTTTTATAAATAAAAATAAAATATTTTTTAAAAACATTTTTATATATTACATCATTTAATATTAATAAATCTTCAATTACCAGTTAGCTTGATGTATTTCAGTTTGAATTGATACCAATCATCAGTTGGATTGGACATTTTTTTCATTGATGACTCAACATTTTTATTAGGCCAAAATACTTTGTTACACTTTACCCAGTTTGATGGAAGAGTCTGTTCATATTCCTCTAATGAGCCATCTTTTGCATATTCAAACCATACTGCTCTGGTCCAAGACATTTTGTTTGTGAAATTGACAATTATAGTAAACCTGTTTATCTAACTCAAAAGAAAAAAATTAATCTATTAATAGTTTAATATAATAGTGAAATTATTAAAATAAATGTGAAAGAAATTAATTATTATATGTTTTAAATGTATATATATATATATATATATATATATATATATATATATATATATATATATATATATATATATATATATATATATATATATATATATGTATATATTACAAAATAATAACAGTAAAAACAGAAATTAAAACAAAATTATGTAGCTGTAAATTTTACCTTTTTTTGAAATGGCTTCTAATGACTGTATAAATAAAAATATTCTTTTTATACCAGTTGAAAATAAGGAAGTCAGACATATTGATAATGCTAAAATACTAATAGTTAAACTTTTTCTCAGACTAATTGCTTAATTATATAAATGCTCTGTTTATACTAGCTAAAAATTAGCAAAGCAGACATCCTCAATTATTAAATTGCTGCAATAAAACAAATAGTGATAAATATTTTTACTATTATCAAATAATGCAATTTAATTATTATCATCAATTTTTTGTA